TGACCTGTTCACTTGGCCTGATGAAGCTTTTGTGTCAAAAGCGAAACGTTGCCCAAATAAAAACCACCGATTGTTTACCAAGCTCCTCTGAAACGATGCACTCAAACTTGATTTATGATTTGAGTATTTAGCTCCCATTTTAGGTTGACGTCGTTCTAGAGACATTTTTTTCCGGGAGAAGCTTCCATCACTTGCCTTACCCACTTGTTGAGGAAGAGCATTGGCTACAGGATGACGGAACGCAAGTCTTGATTGGAAACGTTTACCTTAACTTATCGTGACTTAACTAGAAATCCGCACGTCATGCATTAGATCATTAGGTTATGTGTGCGAATTCGACGATTTTCGTTTTGATGGACGAAAGAGGACTCAGTGGAAGGACAATGTGAATTGATGGCTTGGAGGAGTTCCAACTTAGTTCCGATCGCTTTTCGTTCCTCAGTCTTTCACTCCAGGGTGCTTCACTTGATGATTCATCTCGGGTGCCACTGGTAGATTTTCCCTGGTCTTTGTGGGGTTGTGAGCGCTCCGATAATTTAGTTTGAGGGGGATTGAGGTCAAGTGGAGTTCAGATGAAGAGGAATTACTGATTAGTTCTGCGTCTGTCTTATAACCTGGCCAATTCGGTGACCTGTTCACTTGGCCTGATGAAGCTTTTGTGTCAAAAGCGAAACGTTGCCCAAATAAAAACCACCGATTGTTTACCAAGCTCTTCTGAAACGATGCACTCAAACTTGATTTATGATTTGAATATTTAGCTCCCATTTTAGGTTGACGTCGTTCTAGAGACATTTTTTTCCGGGAGAAGCTTCCATCACTTGCCTTACCCACTTGTTGAGGAAGAGCATTGGCTACAGGATGACGGAACGCAAGTCTTGATTGGAAACGTTTACCTTAACTTATCGTGACTTACTTAACTAGACGCACGTCATGCATTAGATCATTAGGTTATGTGTGCGAATTCGACGATGTTCGTTTTGATGGGCGAAAGAGTACTCAGTGAAAGGATAATGTCCTTAATAATGTAAGCTTATCACTTGTCAAATGGTGTCCCGATTTTCAGACTATTCCAGAAGCCATCACAACTCCGAGGTGCTCCCAACTGACCGCAAAGCCCTCAAATTTTACAGATTTATCGTTAATTCTTTTTACCTAATTGGTCAAATACGTGGCTTTTTCTGAGAAGGGTTGCAATCCGTCACTTGAAAATATACACACTGAGTTTCTCAAGGGTAGGTAGGCAAATTGAGAGACAAAAGGCCTGTGGAGACCTGATGGGGAAAAGCGCGTACTGCATGCATAACTTACATTGATGTAGTCTCCATGAAAGAAGGTTTTCAAATCGAAGCTTCTGGAAGCCTTGGCGGCCCAAAGCCGTAAAGTGTTGCACGTATTGTTTCTGTAACCGGGAATCGGGGTGTCGTAAGCTACAGCTGTGATCACCTCAGTATCGACCCATTTTCGTTGACCTTTATCCTTTTCAATCACATGACCTCCAAAATGGACAAGTTGCGTGGATTCTGGTCGCTCCTTTTCCCAAGGGTTACCATACTGGAGCCACTCATCTGGTTCTTCATACTGTATGTAATTTGTAGTTACAAGGGGAAAAAAATAATCAGGGGATACCAGTTTTCAGAAAATTTTTTTGGATATCACGTGTTTTCAAAACGAAGTCGGCTAACGGGTCACTATCGAGTTGTGGACAGGGGTTTGGGCGTGTATCCTTGGAGTGTATGTTGTTAAAACGCGCCAAAGCCATACTTTGGTCACAGACTGGTGGCCGTGGAACAGAATTGTAATCCTGGATAAAGGCCATCAAGGTAGTTTTCTTGAGACTCTCAGCTTCCTTTCAACCAATTTCGCAAAATTCCGTACAAACAGATTTACGTTAGATTTTTCCTGCACAGTAGGCGTGAAATATTCCGTTTCTTTCCCCCTCTGACTTCCAGAAACGTGAATGTGCTGGTTAAAATTCTTCGGGCAGTTTCTGCCAAGCTTCTGTATGCGGTTCATCGCATATTCAATGCCACCGAATGTTTCAAACATACATACATGACGGGCAGAGTACAAGCATTATTCTGGACTTACAATCCCCTTAATTCAGCCCACTGAACATCTGCGTTCGCGTGAAGTGTGCTGGTGTTTCAACTCGGAGTTCCTCAGACCAGGACGCCTTTCTTGCTATTTCGTAACCCCGGGGAACGTCATACGTGATAAGGCGCACCGCGCAACCTAACCAAGATGCAAAATAGAACACTGTGTGTCTAAAGGCTGAGTATTCCTGGTCACAAAGTTGAAGCGCCTGTTCAGACAGGGTGCTGAGACAGTGGGGACAAACAGGGAACCCTTACACTGGTCAACATGACTCCATGTGTTGGTGCAGGCGCTAAGAATCCAAGATGGTAGCAAGCTTCTAGTATAGCATCTGTTTTCGGCCGACTGTCTGTGACCATCTGGTAGTTTGCTTCGGAGCATCAGTTCGCACGTCAGTTTGACCCGGAAATGAAGTTCTGTGAAGAACACGCTGAAACATTTTCACTACCCAGTTATTGCAAAAAATGTTTATCGCGTAAAGTTCGATTGGGTTGGAGTTTTATGAAACTCGTGAAAAATTCAGAGGCTCAGTTTTCATCAATTGATTGAATTCGAAAGAATTCGGGTTTTTTAAATCCAAACATAAATGGGTATCAGCCTTTTAGTAACATGTGCCAGCATTAAAAATTATTATAATACTGGCAGACCAAGTGCATCTAAACTGTGTTGCAGTGCACTTGGTATCTGAAAGGGGTTCGTTTGGGAAAGGATCTTCAGTTGACCTTGGGCGGAGCAAGCCCCGTTTAGTCGTTCAGCGGTAAAACCCTTTCGGTGGCTAGCTGTCATGCCTGTTAGGAAGACTACCTCCAAATGAATAAATCCATTTAACTAACGATTTGTTGTATATACTAAAACCTTGTTTCTACATTTCAGCCCCTCAGTGACATCCTACAGGACTGTTAGCTCTTTTTCTATTCTGGTTCGGTTGAATCCAATACCACGGAACGATCCACTTGTTTGGAGTATAACTTCCTCGAATTTGTTTTGTCTTCTCCATTTCCGGTGACCTAACGTGTCCGACTGATATAACATCAAAGAGGGCATGACAATGCCACCCGAAGGAGGCACGAGGGCAGGGATACTGCCACTTTGCCCAAGCCTAGACGGGGGAAGTCGAGAGGCAGAGGTCAGGTTCGGACCGGGGACCTACCGGTTAGTAATTTGGCGCTCCAACCACTGACCCATCTCGCAAAATCGGTGTGTAAACTATTCGTCAGGTGGGGCGGGCCGCAGAGATGAAATACACTCATTAAAAAGTTTCATTACCACAGTTTCAAACGGAGAACTGCTATTGGCCCAATCAAAACTGGGTTACTAACCTTGGAAGAAGAAGAAGGGACGATCGTCCAGCATGGTAAGAATGGGATGGATACATTGTGGAGATATACTGGTCTAAATTTGAGGTGAGCGGTTCTCACCACATGTTAGATGCATCCCAAGTTGGAAGAATGAAAACATTACAAGTCATTCTCGCCAAAGGATGTTGACATGCTCTGAGCTTATCCCGACTAGACCAGTCATTAAAATGGGTTAGAATGCCATGCAAGTTGAGAACATCAGACAATGAACGAACCACTGACGAATAAATAGAATACTCTGCGTCGATCTTTATGGAGGAGCTGAGGAACCCGGCGTTTTATTTTGGAGATTTTTGTTAAAAAGGAACCCGTCGTGTGCCATCCCGCTGTTGTCGCACCCTTCAATGTTTAACTCAACTTTTCATAAAGGAAACTACTCACAAGGTTGCTGAAAACTCTTCTGAAACTGTTTAGAACTGTTTAGAACCCGTTCTCATTTGGAAACTATACTTTTCATTACAGAAATCGATAGAGCCATCGGAAAATTAAACCTGCTGTGCAAACGGTTCGAGCACCGTATGACGACTGGCAGTCCCAAAACTCCTGCGCTTCATCTTGGAACACTTTAAATCTACAAAGTCTCAGTTTCTTGCGTGGCTCCAGGAGAATCGTCTAAGAGGTGACGACAGGTTTATATGCCAGGCACTGCAAAACTGGCTAGCTGATAACCTCTCTGACCAAACTGTCTTCAATTCAATCTCGGAAGATCATCAGCAATCATCAGTCTCAGATTATTGCTGGTTCTCGATAACTTGCCTAATTGAGTTCAGTCTGGGCTTTCCTTTGAGTAACTTTATGTCTGATCGTGATCGGCTGAGTAATTACCTATTCATGTCAGTCTTTGGAGTTTCGATGCAGTGATTCGGATTCGTCTACACTCAGTCGGAGAAGTACCGGACTCGAGTCACCTTCTGAATACAGGTCAGCAAAAGTACTTTGACTTCTATACAATTGACAAGGGAGATAGGCATGACACTGCTTCTCTATCAGCACATGCTGAATGTACCAGAATCATCACGCGCGAGGGGATGGGCGATGTGATTGGTTTGCCCGAAGTCAGGATGGAATGAGGACTGTTCAAAAGATAATGATGTGAATACAATGGTTGCAGATCCCGCAGCTGTCTACATTCAATCAGAATTGCTCAACAGGCGTTTGTGGTGCAAGCACTTTTATAAAGTCTGACTGTTAGGTTCATGGATTGGCACAATGAAGCAGTCACGCAGTCGTTTTCCGAGCCGCTACGCAAACCAATCATATCTCCCGAGGGTGAGCACTTTTTCCTGATCAGATGTGAGAACTAAGATGCATCCAGCGTGCACCAGTTAGGTAGTAGTAACATATTTGTTTTCCGCGTCGGTTGTTTTGCATGTACCGCCACCATGAGCAGTGCCGATGACCTATACTAAGACAGAAACGCGAGTCCAGTACGTGGCTTCCCAAGTAAAAGAGGGCTGTTCAAATAGAGAGTGGTTTGAAAACAGACTCTGTAATTATCCAACACGATTTATTCTTGGATTGCTATAATCAGAAGTGATTTCTAAACGCCCGAATAGAAGGCCTGAAAACTGCTTGGGTGCCAACGAAAAACTGGAACCCAAAATTCCAAAGAACTTCAACCGTATTGCCGGCACAGAGAACCGTTGTCTCTTCTCAAAATACGAAACCTGGGAATCCGTCATGTGCTTTTCACAGGTGATATATAGGGACGTAAACACTGAAGGTCATCCTTGGAGACGTTTTCGTAATGAAGGAAAACAAGACCATAGGTGTTTACTGATGAGCAGTACTCACCTGCCATCCATTTTCAATGACCTGATGAAACGCCCCATGTTCGTATCGAATGCCGTATCCCATCCCAGCAAGTCCCAAGGTCGCCATGGATTCCAAGAAACAGGCACCCAGTCGCCCCAGACCACCGTTCCCCAGCCCTGCATCCTGTTCGATATCCACGAGGTCTTCGATATTCAAGCCTAACTGAAATTGACAAACACTACTTGAGTAATTTATTCAGTAGACGCTTGAGTGCAAGAACTTCACAAGTTTCAACAAATATTTCACATAGCTTTAGACATTGGTTGTTTCAAATGACCAGAAACCGACCTGGTATAAGGCTTCATCCACCGCCGACGCAATGCCTACGTTGAGCATCGTGTTGCAGAGAGTGCGACCCATGCAAAACTCCATGGAAAGGTAGTATATACGCTGAAATACAGTGAGAATAAGAGATGCCGTACGTTAGCAATGATCAAAATGTCGATCAAAAACAAACAGCATAAAACGCAGTAAAATTCCATTGTGTGGCGACGGTCACTGTTTTGGCTGTCAGTATCATTGTCCAGCTCCAGGTTGCTCAGCTCATACGCTAGTGGTCTGTCCCGATCAGAATGACACGGCCATCTTCTTCTACAGGAATTTGGTGTTTCCACCAAAACGTTTCTGTCCACGCTTACGGTGCCCAAGCACAGCATCTGGGTTGCAGGCAACATCTGATGACACAAAAGCCGTTTACAGGATTAATGTATACATGTTTTTTCATAAAGGAAACTACTCAGAAGGTTGCTAAAAACTCTTCGACCCTTGTGAGTAGTTACCTTTATGAAAGTATACTGCGATATCTCGAATATCGTGCCAACTGAAACATGAGGCGGCCTGTGTGCACCACATTCAGTTGTAGAATACCATAAACGAGAAATTCGGTTGAGTCTCTCGTGAAAACCAAATTAATTTGCAAATGAGTGTATTTCTCGAACGCACATATCTGTTCATCTGGGTCCACTAGTGAGTAGCCTTCGCTGAAACTGAATGTGTTGATTCATTCAACATCCAAAATTAGCGTAATCGAATGCCAGAAGGACTGTACTTCCACGTCGTCATACAAAGTTAAACAGTTTAGCATCTTGTATTGTAAAACTACCTGTTAGCACTGTAACCATTGTTAGCTGTGGCGTCACATAGATTTTATTCATTACTGGTACAGCGAAGATGCTCAAGTGCGTGCTATAAGTGCGCTCAGTGGACCCACATAATGCCTGAACGGCAAAGTTACAACGAGAATTTCCGACTTGTTGACACAAAAGCCATTGTGATGCACCGGCCCAAAATGTGTACAATATTGATTGAAGTAATCAATATTTTTGTGAACGACAGTGGAGACCATTAGATGAAGAAAAGAAGAAAAATTCTTCTGGGAACTAAACTGCCTCCTGAGCGCGATTCCTGAGGTCTGGCCACGAGCAGTAAACCCGCGAGCACAAAGCACCTGTTTGAGTGCTTAGCTGGAGCACATGTGACCCTGAATCGGCCCCGGAATTAACTCGAGTCTCCCGTTAGCACCAATTTAATTTGCAAACGGTTGTGTATCACAGACTATGAAGAACATCAGGTTGACGGAAACTGATTGACTATGCCTACCTGATGAAGCCGATGAAAGGTGAAAGTAGTCACGTGCCATCGAAGAATTCCTAGTAAAATTATGAGCACAATGTTCCTTCAAGATGGAAAATTCTTTTGTTTCCGTTGAAATGATTAATTTTCTTGAGTTCTGTGACCGAATGAGAAGAAGTGAGATGACATTCCCTCAGCAGGCCGGATAATTCGGCCGTGGAAATTCAGCCATCAGAAATTCAAGATCTCAGCCGTTGGAGGCGTGTCTTGGCGTGTACCGCATAACAACTGGTTGCTTTTGTGGGAGGCATGATGGTCAATACAAAGGGCCGAGATGGCCCAAGTGGTTAGAGCTCGTGGTTCGAACCCGACGTCTGCCTCTAGACTTCCCCTGTCTAGTCTTTGGCAAACTGGCAGTATCCCAGCCGTCGTGCAAACTTCGAGTGGCATGGCAGTTAGGCACCGAAAAGGTGCTACAGTTGGACAATTTTCTAGAAAGCACTTGAAATGGCCTCATAATCTGAGAACTACTACGTTCACAGCTCTTTATAGTTGAGTCTTTCGAAAAAAACTCCAGTTTTGTAGGCCTCATAAATCTACGAAAGTCCAGCTTCAAACGAGCAGACCCTGGTCACCATCAGTAGATTAAAAAAAGGTTTGGCCGTAGATTCCATCCACCCAAACGACACCGTCTTTTGTCGATATCTTATGCAGTAAACGAATGGTGACATTAAGATGGACCAAAGTCAGGCATTGCACCCGGGAGAACCCAAACTAACCAAAGAGTTTATTGTTCTTAATTAACAAAGAACTCCTTAAAGTAGGTTGATGTTTTGATCAAAGAATTTGGTTTTCATCAAACGGTTTGGATGATACAGGAGTAAGATCAACAATGGGGCCATCGGTTTTCTGTCGAATGAAATCATGTGTTGCAACGCCGTCGGGACAATCCGCTTACAAGCATCCAAACAAGTTGTAGGACTTAAACTTGGATTGGTGAGTAGAACTCACTCTTGTGGGCTAGCTTATTGTTTAAGTGGATCGTATACAAACCAAGCAAGCTCTAAAACTTCAAAACAATGTGGATGTCACCCCAACTGGAATGGCCTCAACAAGGGGTATGAACTGCCAGTCTGAACAGTTTCACTGAGTTCTGTCACCAGTAACTCGGTTCAGTCAAAACGTGCTTTTTTTAAACAAACGCGATCGATCACATCGGCATACGAGCCAACCACATGGTTGAGCGTAGTTCACTCATTCGCATGCGCGAGAGCGTGCGTAGCGTGAACGAGAGACAAATTCGTTTGACTGTTCATCACATCCTGTAGCGATGAGAAATTCATAGCTAATGACAACTGATCGGTTACTTTCAACGACATTTTTCGGGATTGATCATGGCGGAGTTATGCCGATTGTCTGCTTGCTCGTTTGCATGGTTTATAACCCCCAAAAACGTGTCGCATTTGCAGGCAAAGCGAATTATAGATACAATGTGAAAGGGAATGGACAGGCGGAATTTCGTCGTGTCGGGAACGCTTCATCATATGCAAATGAGAACAGTCTGAGGCCGGTTGCGGCGAAACTTTGTTTGAGAAGTCTGTGGCGAGCGCCAGAGAAGTTTGATCTTTTCAGGTTCCATGAGGCTTCGTAGACTATTCGGACCAGTCCTATTTCTTCAGATCAGCTAAATGTGCATAGTGATCTTTCACAGATAAGCCCCGCCACTAACGCGAAAAGCTAAACCCTGCCACTTCTTGCCAGCTCAAAGTTAATGTACGCACACAACCTTGGCCTGTTTTTGATGAAAACGATTCCTTATCCGCTTCTCGGCTCATTTTGTGCACAAACTTTCTCCGTTCGGACGTAAAACCTTAAGTGAAATTTTTGACGCTTTCAACTCGCGTTCATGACAAGGATACGGCATTACGTTTTTCGCAAAGCCACGGAGTGATCCAGCAGCAAAGTTTATGCAACAATGGCCACCAAATGACACTTTCAACCGTTTTTGACAGGTGGAAGTGTAATACCCAAAAGTGTTGACAAGAAATCGGTCTTCGAGAGGGAACTTGGCTGGGGGGTCCAGGATGGAGTTTAGGACAGTAATTCCATTCATTTATCACTGCTCCAAAAATTTGGCAAAAATCAAATTCTGCTTCGAGGAATTATCTATTAGCCACATGACCTCTGTTGACCGGAAGTATTTTCTTCGCGAAGTTTGCGCCTGGCGGCTTTTGCGCACTCCAGCAGTTGTCGGCGGCCCAGGTCTACACGTCGAGATCGAGGAGACGCTAATATCTCACCGTAAAAACTACACAGGGCGAGTCGTCCTCCAGCAGTGGATTTTCGGGGGGATCTGCAGGGAAACTAAAGAAGTGTTCATGTATGCAGTGCCAGATCGAACTGCGGCCACTTTGATGGACACCATTCAGGCCTGCATCGCTCCCGGCTCAATCATCTCCGATATATGGGTATCATACCAAGGAATTGAAACGATGATTGACATGAATTATACTCATGAAACGGTTAATCATTCCGAAAACTTTGTGGATCCAATAACTGAGGCTCACACATAAACCATCGAATCCCTTTGGCACGTCTACAAGATGCAGAATAAACGCCATTGCGATACACACCGATCTTCAGTGGACAGCTGCTCCTGTGATTCTGTGTGGAGGTACCGAAAGACGGACGGACCTTTTCAGTATTCCAGTATTTCCCAAGGCACAAACAGGCCCAGTAAAATCTATTCTGTTCCCAAGCGTATAAGTCTATGCATGTTCGCTGAAGAAAGCCGTTCTAAACCGTCCTGACGTTGAAAATACTGGCACACAGGATAGCCTGTTGAGGGTAGGTCGACTCTCAAATGAATCTCAGTTTCACAAATCCACTAGAGCCTAGTCTTGGAAATTTGCTGCCAGTCATCTCTGTACGGCGATCTCCTTCGGTCAGATTGATCAAACGGTGATACTACTGATGAGGGAGGCGTGCGATTAGTATGTTTTGTCGTAAATCCGCTTTGCGTTCCTTGAAAAGCGATATCCATTACGGAATTTCTAGAGTCGCTTTGTAGCACTCGCTTGGATTTGAGCAGCAGTCAATGAATATGCAGGAAAGTTCAGGAAGAAGCGTTCACGGAGAAGATGGATGTTCAGATTTTGTAAACAAGATGCATATGAGAGTTTTGCTCCCGTGTCCAATAGTCTGTAACCGTTTAGTTGACATTTTCTAATAGATAAGTCCTCAGCAAAAGCCTTCTTCCATTCATTTGGTGCCGTGACCAGGATGAGGATCCCGTGACCACAACCTTTTGAGGATGGGGATGTTAGGACCTCCCTGGAGGACTTTGAGGAGGTTACGGAAGCTGCTGGACTAGATATCGACCGGGGTAATTTGGCGGCGCTGAAGACCCTCCCCGGGGGGCGGGAGAAGGCGGCCTTGAGTGCCACCAGAAGGGGTTCTCGGAAGATGAACTGGGCCACCGCGAAAAAAGCCCTTGCAGGCAAGTTTGACACGACGGCCGACCGCCAGGAGGCTGTGAGGCGGTTCAAGACGGCCAAGATGGCACCGGGATCTGACGCGACTGCGTTCTTCACCGGAATAATGAGCACGGAACCACTTCTTCGTCGGGCCGACTGGGTGGCCCTAGCGTGATGCGCGGTGGACTGGTCAAAGTCGGTTTGCAAAGGAACTTGAGAAACGTTTCCGTCCTCTGCAGCACCTTGATTTCAAGGAGGTCAGAGCACCTATTTTGAAGCTTTCCGTCAAGCATGAACTAAACACTGTATTGGAGGGTCGATCCTACAGTCAAAGACGTAGGAGGTGTGGATAGGTGCTGAATGCTTATGTGGGATGGGAGAAAGCATAAATACGGTGCTGAAAATTTTTTCTTCGATATACTCTTAGCCCGACCTGCTATTGACTGTTATTCTGAATTTCGGTTCATCAACTGATGAACAAAAGAGCTAAACGTGTTGTTGGAATGGGACGTCTTGAAGTCGCAGTTACTGACTTGAGCCCTCTACGACAGTTTATGGCATGGCATTGTGTGCTCCTTCCCGCCAATAACATTCACCGTAGTATGAAAGACACCTTGTGTCTGATCTGTGAATTATGACTGTGCTGGCGCCTACTGCGATTTGGAGAATATTCAGAACTTTACTCACAAGGCTGCTGAAAACCCTTCGACAGCCCACGACCGGTTTCACCTTTCTTCATCAGGTAGGCGCAGTCCCCGAATTTCCGTCAACTTATGTTCTACTTGAACCCAACTTGGACTGTTTTCGAGAAATACACTCATTCGAGTATCAATTTGGTTTTCAAAAGAGGCTCAACCTAACATCCAGTTTTTGCTGTTTTTCAATTGAATGCGTTGCGCGCTTCATCCGGTAGGATATTCAAGACATCGCAGTACGATATTCGCAATGTAATTCTCGAAAACAGTCCAAGTTGGGTTCAAGTAGAACATAAGTTGACGGAAATTCGGGGACTGCGCCTACCTGATGAGCCCGAAGTGGGGCGGCGAAACCGGTCGTGGGCTGTCGAAGAGTTTTCAGCAACCTTGTGAGTAGTTTCCTTTAAGAAAATATACTGCGATATCTCGAATATCGTGCCAACTGAAACATGAGGTGGCATGTGTGCAGCACATTCAGTTGTAGAATATCATAAACGAGAGATTCAGTTACGTCTCTCGTGAAAACAAAATTGATTTGCAAATTAGTCTATTTCTCGAAAATATTAGGACTGTCTGTACGTAACACACTACTCATAAGGTTGCTGAATATTGTTAAACAATCCACGGCTGGTTTCGTCATTCTACTTCTGGCCCATAAGTTCGGCGCACTCTTCCGCTTTCCCTCCGCCGTATGTTCTAACCCAACTCGAATTGGACGGAATTCGCCAAGTGCTCTTAATTGCATAGGGATTTCTTTACGAAAAAAGGCAACTGATTTGTGCCGGATCTCTCATTCATGGTGGTCTTCCTCTCCAACTGTATGTGTTTCACAAGGCCGCCTCATGTTCCGGTTGGTACGGTAGTCGAGCTATCGCAGTACATTTTGAGAGTGTAACATACTACTCCAAAGGTTGCTGAAAAACCTTCGACAGCCCATGGTCGTGATAGGCGAGATATTTGGCTGGATTCAGTTACGTCTTGCGTCGAAACCAAGTTGGTATGCAAATGAAAGTAGTTGTTGTCATTCAGGAGTGTTCATCCCATTTTTCGCTTTCTGATCTTCACATGTGTGCTTCCATTCCATGAATCATTAAATAAGTTGTAGATCTTTTCGCCTCTCAGAAACACTACCAACGGCACACCTTCGAATGGAACGTTTCCCTTTTTCATATGTTCTCCTACATCTATCCATTGCTCTTTTTGTGTTTGTAGTAATGCGGTTCAAAAGAAACGATAATATTCTTAGGAATCGTGCGAAACGTCGGCTCCGGGGTACTCTAACGATTCGTGGTTACACTGCACAAAATCTGAACATGAGATACGGTCGGCACTAACATACATACATCAATAATCAATGTGGACAACACAGCACGATACATGAGCACAACTGGACAGAGTCCGTGTACAACAAGGAAACGGGATTAGGTTGTCGATTGGATAGGTTAGTCCACAAGAGCACTCGGACAATCGATTTGTGGGCCTCACTGATTGGTAGTTCACTCACTGTTTATCGTCATTCGATGTTTATTGTCTTGGAGTCAAACACCATTCAGTGTTTATCTGAATCTGACTGCGCCTGACCAGCGGACAAGGCGCAGATATAGTTGGATGAACACAGGGGCGTGAACGGCCGATCATTTGACTGCGTGAACAATGAAAGTCCTGTTTTGATCAAACGTGCTGTGTCAAAGTTTCTACAAGCTAACACCTGAGCGAAGATATGCATTTTTGTCCGCTGGAATAGGACTTGATCAAAGGTCTACAGAGAAAACCCCTCCTTAATGGGTGCCCACTTAGTTGTGAGAGTCCTCTGTATAAGGGATCTGAGATACAAGTACCTCATGTTAGTTCATGCATTCCCCCTGGGCCTATTCCACAGGGAAAGTACGAGGGCAAGCTAAGCGAATAAGTTAATTTCTTAAAGCACAGAGGTTCGCTCTTTTGAATGCTCCAAGGGGTCGATTTCTAGTCCACTTTATGTTCAATAACAAGCCACTGTCACACGGTTGCACTTTCTTTGAACGTCTGATCGCTTGAACAAATGTCACAAGCGTTGTTTCGGGAACTTCCCGACACTTGTCAACGAAACCGGTGATTGTTTTCTTCTAAGAATGAATTGGTTTCGACTGTATTGTACCTGTCTTCAGGTAAAAGCATGCTAACGTGTCTCCAGATAGTACACTCAATTCATCCCAAAACAGCTGACTGCGGAAGCTCTGACGGGCTTTAATCACACACCAGGTAATGATGACCTAATTTTGTCACCTTCTCCCGCTACAGTGACAGAAAAATCAGTGTTGCTGGACTCATTCTTGTGTTTCTGTCCTTACAATCTCGTGTCGAAAACGACTATGCACCCCTCCAAAATCCAGTTTTCTTTTTAGCAGTTGAGCTGGATATAGCTCAAAGGTCAAGGCGAGGACTTCCTGACCGGCGGGTCCGTGGTTCGCATCCGACCTCTGCATCTCGACTAATACTGTCTAGGCAATGACAACCTGGACGTCGCTCTTCCTTCAGGGGCATGGCAGCTTGATACCGAAAGATACCACAACTGGACGCTATGGCTGATACATTATGTCTCTAAAATTGAGTGATCCGCAGTGGCCTTCGAAATTCCGGTGTGGACAAAACGTTCGTTTTCTTTTTCGGATAGCCTGTCTTTCCTGGTTTTATATCCGGCAATACCCCACGTACGTAATGTGACTGTCGAGTTGAGGATGGAGGTGTTTCCACACATCAATCTAAAATTTCCTCGTTACTTCAAGGAACAACTGTCACTAGTTTACTTTATCCCAAAGCGGGTGCCTTCAAAACACACGGTCTAAAAGCTCAGATCGACGTAGCATGGGGTGCAGTTTTTTCTCTCGGTTCGGACACGTCAGGATAATATACATCAAAGGTAAAAACTCATGACCGGTCAAGGCAAACACGCACAAAGAAAAAGCAGACGTGGTCGCAGATGTCGTACTTCACTCATGCTGACGATCAGCCATGAAAGTAACCCCTAATGTGACTGACAAGAGTGACCTGAAATAAGGCGGATCAATGTACAGCACGATCAGTGTTCACGCAACCCAGTGTTGTTCTTAACCAATATACTCCGTCAGGGTGTTCTTCGTATGAATTCTACGAAAATATGGCTTCTACGACGTTCCAAACTGCTGAATGTCCTCAAATAGGGTGCGCTTTGCTAAGAGGTACCACCAACTGAAGCAACAGCGCTGAATCGTGTGCCTGTTTGGAGCAACCGGTGGTTTGGGATTGCTGAAATTCGGGTGCTTAAGGGTTCCCAGATTTTGTGCACAAGAGCGCAACGCAGAATGCGTTATGTCAGAGTTTAGAGGTTTAACAAAAGAAATCAAAGATGACACGAGTTAAAATCGAACAAATTATCCTGTTTGCACATCCGAACGAACCGACGTTGTTTTTCAAAGTCGGCGCTACTTTCTATATAATGGTTCTAGAGATCAGTAGTTTAAATCCCCTTCTTCTGTGCACGTAGAGGGCACTTTCCAGGAATGTGCGCCGAATACAGGTCGCTGTTCGAAGGAGATCGACTAACATTTTCTTAAACAAGTACTTAGGGATTTGGGAAACTGTTCGACGGGGGCCACGACAGATTTCGCCCTTCGTGGGACTCAACAACTAACCGCAGTTCTCGAGTTTTCGTCAGTCCAGTTGAATACCGAACTGCACACAGTTGGGTCTGTTCCGCAAAGAAACGGACTGCGTAACAACTGAAAAACCAGGTGACCTGCGTACACTCCAATCGGATGAAGCATATCATCATCTGATTTCCAACTCACTCTTCTGGTAACACAAATTTACATGCAGATGTATTTCGTCCAACTGGCACTTTTTCCTATTGGTGTTCTCTCAGTCATCGTAGAACAGAATGCGAATTTGAAAACGCTACAATATTTCCTCGCGTAATGGTTAAACTGACACGGTCTATCCTTAGACCGATGAGAGGAGTAAAGAATGCTTTTCTACACATCTAAAATCTTCATTGATTATCGGGTCAATTTTGATTCACTTTGGACGTGAGTGTGGATAACAAGTAAACCGCTGATATGTCTAGACGTAACTCTTCGACAGCCCACTACCAGTTTTGCCCGTTCTTGGGGCTCATCAGGTTAGAACGGCTCCCTTACATTTCGTCGGCCTTACGTTCTACTTGAATCCAAATTCGGTAGCAGAAGCGGACCATCAGAAAGGAGAGATTAAGCTGGATGCGGTTGAGTCGAAACCAAATTAGTGTGCGTGTGTGTGTGGACCATCAACAGGGTAATCTGAATGGCTACGCACTCCACATCGCGTTGCGTAGTCAAAGAAACCCATCGAGTACTGTGCTTACTCTTTAAATTACTTCTCGACACGGGGTTTGATGTGTGGTTCTGGACGAGTCTATTGTGTAATCGAGCAAAAATTGAGTGGCACACATTTTTCCCCGCTGTACAGTCTCTAAGGATGGCATTCGGAATGAACTGGGGTTTCCTGACCGCTGAAAGAAAGCGATCCACTTATAAGGGTAGTTGTTTTAACTACCTGCAAGAAGAAGGGTTTGACTGTCTCTACATGCTGGCGGACTCATGAACTACGTTCAGCGCCCACTTGTATCCAGTGCCCCATCAGAACAGAACAGAACAACAGAACAGAACATCAACAGAACAAATTTCAAAATAAATTGATACCTTCGTGAAACATGCTAACTAACAAAACAAACTTCATTTCTACCTAAAACTCAGTGTCCGTTTAGCCGTATTTCACAGCTCGCTCTTCCCAGTTCGCTCTATCGGTGTAATGGTCTGGAAACCGGAGCTAACCCACAAAACAGAAATGCATGAATAGGAATGGTCTGGAACCGGAGCTAACCCACAAAATAGAAATGCATGAATAGGTCGT